GTTGTGCCCGGAAATATGTCCACAAAATTGGGATTTTGCGCGGGACGTTTTGTGTCTTGGAAACCTCACGGGAATGCCGTGTGATTATTGTGGAGATGGGTGTGGGCGTTGTTGCGAATGGTACTTTGACCATTGCTGTTGTTGCTGCGAAACATGTTGTGGAACATTCTGCGATTGGTACATTGACCACTGTTGCTGCTGTTGTGACGATTTGTGTGATTGTTGTGATGGATTTTGCGACTGCTTGGGTGACTGCTGCGACTGTTTTTGTGACTTCATATGCTGTTGCTAAGAAATTTCGATGTTTTTGTGTTTCTGTTGTGATATGAAAAATTATTTAACTTTAGGCGGTTTAGTGTTTGAAAACTTTACTATTAATTATATTAAAACTATTTTTTATTTTTTTTGGCGTAATAAATCTATTTTAATACTTTCATAATTATAAATGTAATTATCTTATAATATGAAAAATAATATTTAATGATATTTTAAATATGTTTTTAATTCACAAAAATGGAGAAACATTATTAATTAAACAAAAATAATTAAATAAAATATTATAGTAAAATTGCTATTTAAATTTATTTTAATAATATATATTATTAATAGTAAAACAATAAGAAAATATAATTTAACAATAGTAATCTATAAAAAATATGAAAAAAGTTCTTATATTTCATTTTTTAGATATTTTATAATTGAATATTTTCAATTGCACTTTTGATGATGTTGTGAATTTTTTTTCCAATAAAAATAATTAAAATTGGATAGAGGTTCTCAAAAGCTTCAACATTTCGATTTGAACTTCGATTCCTCATTTTTAAACTAAATTTTTTAATAAATTAAATTATAAAATAAATATAATGTCTAATATTTCTAAACAAATAGTTTATAATAATATATGTTATTAAAAAGTAACTATATGAATGTCCAGAACTAAGTAACATCCAAACAAATTCAACAAAGAAAAAACTTCAAAAATTTTTTAGGGTTGAACGATGTTGATTTTCCCGTTTGAATAAGTCTACCAGATGCTGATGTAATACAACATGAATTCTATATAAAGAAAATATGGAATTTGAATCAACCCCAGTTGAAGAATTACAAAGTGTTCAAAAGCGCCCGTTTATAACCAAAACGACGCCAAGACACTTACA